GTCATCGACGACGTCAACAGTTGCGAACGTGTCTGTGACGACGCTCCGGTCGCGGCTCACGATCATCCCGCAAGACCCGGTGCTCTTCTCTGGCTCGCTGCGCTTCAACTTGGATCCGTCGGGCAATGCTTCCGACGACGAGCTCTGGACGGTCCTCAAGCAAGTGCACTTGGGTGACGGCATTGCGTCGCTGGACGACGAGGTGGCCGAGCGCGGCAGCAACTTCTCCGTGGGCCAGCGCCAGCTGCTCTGCATTGCGCGCGCCTTGTTGCGCAAGAGCAAGGTGGTCGTCCTCGACGAAGCGACCGCCAACATCGACCTCGAGTCGGACAAGCGCATCCAGGCGACGATCAAGGAGTGCTTTGTGGGCATCACGATGCTCATCATTGCCCATCGGCTCGACACGATCATCGACTCGGACCGGATTCTGGTGCTCGATGCTGGCCGCGTCGTCGAGTACGACACGCCGACGGCACTGCTGGCGATTCCGGACGGGTCGTTTGCCAAGCTCGCAGAACAGGCGCACCTCCAGATGTAAGACGACATTCGTATCAATTTAATATCAACCGTTTCAAGGTGTCGTGACATTTTGTGAAAGAGCGATAAAAGTGGAATGGAACATGGTTGATATTTTGTGAACGAGCGATGAGAGAGGAATGGAACCACGTCGCTATTCTGTCTGTGAGTATAGTGTACGCATTGTCGAGTGTGTCAGTAACGATGTTGAAGAATTGCAACCGAACGTCGACGCCGATGCTTCGGCCGCGAGACCGGCTCCAGCTCTGTACGAAACGATTCGATCCACCACGATTCCACCAGCTCTGTGGTGACGGCGCCACAATCAAGCTCATGTTGTGCTCGGGCACGACCTGCGGTTCGACTCGGTCGTCGACGAATCCATGTGGGGCTTTGCATGGACGCTCGTCACGTCACACGATCCAGTGAGTAGCCAGCGCGACTATCAAATCTATGCAAATACCAAGTAGGTCGTTGAGAGGAGGCGTCGAATCCTCTGGATCGATGGACCAAGCCGTTCGTACATCGTCGCTCGAACCCAGGAACCAGGGGTAGGGCTTGCATACAAACCGTCAGTCTACAAAAACAGATGGCGTTCCACGCTTCGACGCGACCGCCTCTTGGACGTCAACCCGCGATTCATTTTCGCATTTGCCACTCGAGTACCATGCTTCACCGCCTTGCACTGCTATCGGCCCTCGCGTCGGCGGCCAAATTCTCGTTCACCAACAAGTGCAGCTACCCCATCAACCTCCACGGCGGCGGCTCGGTGCACATTTGCGACATTGCACCAGGCGCGACGACCGACTGCGGCGTGCGTCTCGAGGCAGGTCAGCACGGACTCTTTAAGCACACGGCGACAGACGAAGCCAACTGTACGTACTGCTCGAATCCGTGCTTGGCATCGATGGGTGTGACGTTAGTGGTCGAGTACTCGCTTGTGAACGCACCGGGCTTCCACTTCGTATGGTATGACGTTAGCAACATCCCGCCAGGCGTACGACTCGATCCCTCGAAACACGCTGGCTCATTGCGATGTAGCCGGGCTTTTGCAAGAGCTACGAGGACTGCAAGGCCAAGACAGGCGGCAAGTCGGGCTACAACGTCCCATTGACCGTCACGCCCACCAAGCACCAGAACCGCGGCACATGCAAGGAGCTCGTCGACCTCTCTCCAACCGCGCCCGACACGTATCTCTTTCCCGAAGACAACACCAAGACGCACGCGTGCCCAATGGACGAAGCCTTTCTCGTCACCTTTTGCCCCCACGGTGGTGACGGTGCGGTGGCGGGATGCGGCGGCGTCGAGACCAACCGCGACTACTTTGGCAACGACATCGGCCACTCGCTTGTCTCGGGCGACGAGGCGGCGCAGGCGGCTGCGTGCTGCGCGTCGTGCAGCGCCACGCAAGGTTGCGTCGGGTACACGGTCAACCAAGGCACGTGCTGGCTTAAGTCGTCCATGAGCAATTCGTCGTATAGCGCGACAGCCTTTTCATCCCGTCGAAAGAGCCACCTGCGCCGCTAAACGAAAGCACACTTGATACGATGAGACAGTTGATGCATGGATATATGACAGTGAGCGAGGATGGAGTGTTCAGGTACACTATCAACGACGTCGTGTTCCACTCAGTTGCTGGTGTTGGCGTTGGCGTCGGCGTCTCGGTGGCTGCAGAGCTACTGCCCGCGCCCGCTGGTGCATTTGTCGCTGCAGGATCCGCCGTTGTCGGTGTATTGGTAGTGATGGTGTCGAACGTGCTCGAGCCACTCCCAGACGTCGCATTGACGGCCGTGGCATTCGGCGAGGTATGATTGGCGACGTTTGATACGGAAATACTGGTTGCCGTCGGCGCTGGGTGGCGCAAGGGAATATGGTAGCACTGGTTGTCCATCCAGTTGGAGAAGATATAGTCCAGGTTGCTATAGAACGCATTGGTCCACGCACGCAACCAGGACCACCTAGCACGATTTTCAACTACGACATGTCGTCTGCTAGAACGTACGACTGGGGCCATGGGTGCCACATGTCGAGAATGTCGTTGACCAGCTGCAGTAAATGTGGACCCTCGACACATGTTGACGCGTTGGGGGCGAATAAGTTGGACAAGTTGTCCTCTAGTCCATATCGTTTCGATGTACCACATAGAAACCGTTGTGCTACGTGTCATGGGGTAGGTGGACCAGATCGGAAACGGGGCTAGCCAGGACCAGAGCGCATTCCATGCATTGCCGCAGCCATCAAGCGCACATGCGGATGCATTGTACAAGGAAAACGACCGGTCCGAGGTCGTCTCGACGGTCTCGCCGGCCCAGAGCGCACCCGCTTGGCTCGAACTCACTTGAAGAGACCATAGAATCTAATATCCGATGTTGAGACGCACCACAAAGGGTACCGCGAATTTACCGGTTCAAACCACGCATGCGTCGCACGAGGCGGTGCCAATTGCGCGAGCAGCGCCGAAGTACACGGGATCGACGATGCACACGCCGGTGCGGGCGCACACAGCGCCGAGAAGAATAGGTGCGTGCTTTGGCGCACGAGCTGACTCGCGTTCTCGCCCGAGTAGTTGCTCTTCAGCACCGCGTGAAAGGCGTCGCAGCAGCCTCCTGACGCGATCATCAACCCACAAAACAACGATAGAAAAGTGATCGAACGGTACCGGACGCCTCGAAAAGCCTGTCGATCGTCGGCGCCAGCACCGTCTCAATGCACGTCTTGCCTAAACAATCGCACTCGTGCGACAATACTACTAGTGTGACACTATACCATGGGTCGTGTAGAGCGGGCAGACGTCGGCGTGGTAGGCGACCTGGAGAGCCGACGCGCTCGACATGTTGAGCAACGACGTCCAGGGGTAGGCCACGAAGGCGGCGCAGTGCACATCGTTTAGAAACATCTCCACGGACGCGTTCATGACGACACCGGGAATTGAAGCGAGGCACGTCACCGCGGTAGCCGGTAAGAAGGTTGCCACAAGTCGCTCTATCTGCGCTTCGGTTGCGATCGCCAGGTGTCCGAGGTAGTCGGAGCCACTCAGAAAGCTGGACGTGAGGTTGAAGGAGCTTGCGCACTGCGTCACGGTCCACAGCGGATCGTACATCTCTACGCAAAGAGGGTGACCGAGGCGGCACCATAAATATCGTCAACGTACCTTCGCCCGATAAACTTGGTGTCCACGCATTTGACTCGTAGGGCACCACGTTGACGCGCAAGCTGCCAGTCGAGAGCACCGATCGCACGGCGTTGAGCGGCTCGAGAAGCACCGGGAGCGCCAGCGGCGGCATCGCCGTGTACTGGAGCTGGAGCTGCCGACTGGACGACAGCAGCGTCATGTCGACGGTCGGTCGGATGTTCAAAGGGCACCCGCGTACACCTACTCGCTCGTTGCAAATATGCGCGAGCATCCGAATCGCTGCATGGTACCGTCGCCCGCACCATCGACGCAAGCGCCTCGAAATCGGTCGAGGTCGATACATTCGGAAACGTAAAGGTGGCCGCCCCCACGGAGAAGACGAAGGGCGTCGACGTCGGGGGTAGCGCAACCGAGTCAAGCACCGACGTCAAAGCAAATGAAAGCGTCACGGCGCTCGCAGCACTCGACGTGTCGGGTGCACCGAGCCAGTTGAGCGGACACGCGTTCGCGCCAAGGCACTGCATGCCCGACATGTACTTGGCCCACGCCACTAGTGTCGTGGGTGCTGCATTCTACAGCAGGGACGCATACAGAAAGACAATGCATACAGAGAGACGACCGTGGTGTTGTGGCAAAGTGCAAACGCCGGGAGCACGTCAGCCGAGTTGCCGCCACCCGCGGCTTGCAGCGCTGTGAGGAAGGCCGGTGACCACGTGAACTGCGCCAGAGGCGTCGCCATGGTGGTATTGGCCAAGCACGATGCCAGCTGGCGACACGTCAGGTCACTGCGGCATTGTAAAAAGGCACTGTGACACGCCAGACAAGTCGCTATGCAATTGGTGCCTGCGACGGTACTTGAACCGGTACGTGCGTACCGCTAGGGGCATAGGGATGACGCGCCGAGACGTCCCGGAGCGTCAACGCCACGGTGTAGGCGCTGGTGGTCGTGTACGTCGCATCGAGGACGTCCGGCCGGTTGTTTTGCAGCGACACTTGCGTCGACGCGACCGACGTGTCGACGCACAAGGTCACCGCGTCCAGCGACGGCAGCGAATCGTCATCATACACTTGCTTGAGATGCACGCAAAAGGCCATGGAGGCGGCGGAGGCATCCGTGCTCTGGAACGTCCACTGCGTCGTCCGGTTGGCCAAGACAATCGGTGCGACTTGACCCTCGAGCGGCGTGGCATCGTTGAGGGTCACGTTAATGGCCCTTGTACTCACCGCGTCTAACCACGTCCATCAGTCCATAGAGTTTTGAGCGTCTTTTCTACCAAGGTAAAACGCGTTGTACGCAAAGCCAGAGGTGACCGAGACCAGGACGCTGGTCGCCGTCGGTCCATTGTTCTGCAGTGCGACAAGCGACCGAAACAAGCGCTTCTTCGATGGCCGGAGGAAACCAACGCGCGTGATCGGAGGCGGCAACGTGCGATCGTCAAGCGGTGGCGTGTAGAGCGACCCCGGGTACGTTCTTGTGTAGATCGCACTGGACGTTGGCGCTTGCAACTGCGTCGACTGCAGCACTGCCCACGCCCCCACTGACGCCGTAAAGGCGTCGGACCACGCCGAGGATGCGAAGAGAGGTGGCAGCGCCCGCTGCTGGTCGATCGTATAGTAGTAGATGTACAAGGTGTACGCGCGCGTCAACGCCGCTGGCGACGATGCACTCCCCAGAGTGATGTCCGAGTACCTACACAGCGCTCGCGTGAAATGAACCAGAGCAACCAAATGGTACCGGAGGTCGAGGGAGGCCACGAGCGACCAAATCGCTTGCTTGAGTCGGTAGAACACCAGTGGGTTCAACGGCGAATTCATCGCCACGGTCAGTGCCAAGGTCGCATACGACGTCTACAAGCGCTTGGATAAAGTAGACGGCGACATGAACTACCTGGAACGGCGGTGATGGCAGCTGTAGCGTCGCCGATGGGACAAATTGCAGAAAAAAGGCGTGTTCCAGAACGCCAGCGAGAGGCGCATGTCAAAGGCGTCGTCGAGGCTTGGCGCGCCGTTCGTGGTCAGCATGGGCAGCACGATAGAGACGATGCTACATCGATCGTCGCATCGCTGGATCATCTTTAAAAAATGCAAGCAAAATACGTGGGGTTCGAGGCGGTGACATCAAAGGCAATGTCGGTAAAGAGCGGACTCGTGTCGAATGGGGCCCTGCACCATCGTTCGCTTAGCATCCCATATCAAACGCATCGGTGTCGTACGTCTGCAGCACGAGCGACGACGGCAACGCCCGCGTGACGCTCTCAACGAACGATGACGCGTTCTCTTCGAGGTCCGCGAGGGTGATCGCACAGCCTGTCGTGAGGACCAAGAGCGGATTGTTGTACACGGGCGCGGGTGCTTGAACAAACGGCTGCGACGCGTCCAAGTTGACATCAAAGGCGACGACCGACTAGAGACAGTTTTCTCGTCAACCTCAAGTGCACGTGCCCGGGTTATACGAGGTGGGTCGGCAAGAGAGCGCGCCAAGCGCCCGTTTGCACCGCCGCGCCGATCGACGATCGCCGCAAAACTGAGGCGTCGGTCATTGTGATGCGCAGCAGCGTCACCGACTCCACACCGTAGACGTCGTGCGGGACTGGCGTCAGCGGCAGCGAGCGAACGTTTCTCGCTAGCATCGGCAGTGCGTTGGCGCGTAGGGACTCGACGATCGCAAAGACAACAGCGAGGGCATCGGCGCCGTCGGCATCACGCAAGGCGACATCGATGGCGAGGTACGCAGAGGGCAATGGCGCGACACTCGATCTCGAGTCGAGCTGCAGGGCGTGAACCGTCTCGTTTGGGTACAAGTGAAAATACGACGCAATCTCGCGGAGCGTGAGCCACTCGCCGGTCTGCGTCGCGTAGCCGAGCTCGAGACCTTGTCGCATGCGCTTTGATTGTTCACGAAAGTCGACCGCTGGCGGGCCGACGGCGATGCAGAGACCGCTGCACGTCTACACTCCATGGCCATTGATCGGCGAACGTGAAGGTGCTGTGGACGTACCGGCAGCAGGTTGCACGTCGCGCTTGCCTCGGGCGTCGAGAGGTTGGCACGCAGGTCCAGTGACGCCACGACGACGCTACCGTCAACGCTGCTGCACGCGTACGACACAAGATAGTCGACCGCCAGCGTCAGCGCAAAGCTGCCGCGCGCGGTGGGCTCCAAGCTCGGCGTCTCAATGTGCGTGATGCGGACGTTGGAAGCGTCGACGGCCATCATATCGGCCAAGACGTTGAGAAAGATCCGCTTGGTCGCATCAAAGTCGGCCAGCGAGAGGTTGGCGCCGACGTAGATGGACACGTTGGCATGCGTCGGCGAGTACGCCGAGCCGGCTCGTATCGGCGGCGGTTGCAACACCGACGCGGCTAGATCGTAGCCGAGTACTGCGACGGCGACGGTGGCGAGCCATGCGAGGAGCATCCCTCGACAAGATCCAAAATCCTCGGAAAGGTCGAAACGCTTGAGCCATGGACGATCGGTATAAGTATCGCCATGATAACATTGCCTCCCTCACCGAACTTATGAGTATGCAGTTACTACATACGATGCGTTGCCCTGTGGATTCATGATGCATGGGCGAGACGGTTCGATCTCGCATGTCGATAGATAGTTGAGCTTAACCGGGAAAGGCGCTCGAGTTGCGCTTGGCGACCGCGCGTGGCACCGAGAGCGCGGCGCGGAACGACCCATCCAAGCTGTCCTTGCGCTTGGCTTTGCGTGGCGACGCCGGCTCCAACAAAAGTGTCTCGTCACACGACGGTGTCAGGTCGAGGTCGAGGTTGGGCACCGACGTGACGGGGCGAGTATTCTGCTGTGGCGGCGACGTAAACGTGGCTGGCACCTTGAAACCCTTGGCCCAGCGTGCCCATTCGTTGTGGATTTTATCGCGCTCTTCTTGAAGTCGCAAGAGCACCGACGGGCGCACGGGTGAGGGCGGCGGCGCCTGGACGGCAACGTAGTCGGTGTGCTGGCGCAGACGCAGCGCGTCGCCCGACCCGCTCACCGAGTAGCGGCGGCGGAGAACGAGGTGGCTCGTCGAGCTCGCCAGCGGCAAATCTGTCTTGAGCCGCTCTTCAAAGATACGTTTCGCGTCAAAGCGCACGCTTTTCGTGGCTTTGCTTGGCGAGTTGGCGCGCTTGACCGGATCGACCAAGCAGCTCACGGGTGGCGTCTTATCGCGCACAAAGATGGTGCTCACGTCCACGTCATCCATGGCCGTGGAAGGCGACAAGGACGGCGGCGAGGGCGGTACCGCGTGCGGGGAGATGTACCCGATCGACTGCTTGAGCTCGTCGCGACTGGGCGGCGGCGTTGTCGGCGTTGCATCTACAGGCGTTGTGCAGACAGCTAGTACGTTCTCGGGCGATGGTCGTACCAGTGCCACAGCAATGGTCGTTGGACGACGAAAGCGTCGACCCCATCGCGCTGTGTTCGGCTCGGGTATCAACGGTGGTCCCTAAATAGGAACTGAGCGTTGGCGCCAACGGTTATGTGGCAACTTTTAATGGGCCAACGATGTAGGTTATTGGGCCCGTGTAGCGGCTGTTGTGCCCCATAGTACCGGCGCTGCCGAAGATACGAGTTCTATGCTTTGTTTTCTCGTTGGAACAGACAGGACAACGAGGCTATGACACTGTATACGTGGCGCGCCGGCGTGCGAGCTATCTATGATTGGTCAATAATCGCAAAGATATCTTTGGAGTAGCCAATGATACGAAGGCTGTGGCGCGCTTCAACTGGTATACAAACAGCAAGAGAGCCAAGAATCGAAAGATTGCCTATTTTGCGGTTTGCGGACGCGAAGGGACAGCGGACGATGGGCTGCTGCTTCTCCAAGGAAGACGACGCGGGCTTCGAGGCCAAAGAGAAGCTCCTGCCCAAGGCCCACAAGTTGGTCGCGCCCAACACTTTGGGCTCCTCATGCTCGCGTAGGGACGTGGTGACGCGCGAGCTACCCAAGCCGACTGGCAGCTACAAGTCGCCCGACGTCCCAGCCCAAGCGCCTGTCGAGAAGCGAACGGCGACCAAGCCGGCGTACGAGGCGCCAAAAGCACGGATTGAAACCAAGGCACCGCCGCAAACGGAGGCAAGCCCCGTGGCCGTGGCGCCAGTGATTGCAGTGGCTGCGGCTTTGCAGCCAGAGCCGAGCCCGCCAAGAGACGTGGTAGAGACTTTGCAGGCGCCTGTTAGTCGTGAGAAGACGGGCACCGTCGTCGAGGCGCAACCGGATGCTAGTCATGCCACTCAGCCGCAGGTACAGCCCGAGGCATCCGTGCCGCACGTGCAGCGGACGGGCTCGATCACCGTACCGCAGTCGCCAATCACTACGGCGCTTGGGCCAGTTGCGAAGCCTCCGTCGCCGATCAACAAGACCCCGGCGCCCGTTGCGGCGCCAGCGTCTCCCATCAAGGTCGCGTCGCCTGCAAGCCGCAAGAGCTCGTGGACCGAGGTGGGTGTGGACGACGCGACTCCTGCAAAGGAGGACAAAGCGCCGTCACCGATCGCTCGGAAGGCCTCGACGCAGGACGAGAAGGCTTCGGTGCAGGACGAGACGGCCCCATCGCCCGTCGCCTCGATCAACGAGTCCAAGCCGGCGGCCAGTACGAACCCGGCACCCGAGGTCACGTTGGTGCACGCCCAATCCTCCATCCCGGAGCAAGATGCAACAGAGCTCTCCCGCAGTCGAGAGAGTTCTCATGCCTCGAACGAAGGCGACGACGCCAAGGACGACAAGCCCGTTGAGCAAGCCGCACCGGTACGGCATCGCTCCTGTCTCTGGCTAAGCCTCGTGGGTTGTAGGCAGCGACGGCGTCCAAGGGCAAGAAGAAGAAGAACAAGAAGAAGAAGGGCAAGGCGTAGGCGTGCTGCTTGCTGTACTACTGTAGCATGTGCCTCTGGATCAATATATACGACGCGTGATATGTCAGCGCTTTCCTCTCGCGCCGCAGGACACGCGCTCGCACCTGCGAAGCATCAACAGCCGGGCCATACAAGCAAGCGCTACCACGTACTACCTATCCACGACGCTGCATCGTGGCCATCTCCAGTGCCACATTATTGCTCGCTTGGACTGGGTGTTGCAACGTTCGAATTTACACGCGCTGTGATTGGTGGATTCAGAAAAATTCGAACCGACTCAATGTCAACGTGCTGCGTCCAGGCAAAGACCGAGCGCGGATCGTCGTAGCTGCGTCGTCGCAGCTCCATGCAATGCGACAGAGCCGTCCCCTTCGCTGCAGCACAACAAGCTGCAATGGGCGCAACCTCTCGCGGGCCCTCGGAGGCGATCTATCCGAGCCGCCGTCACAGAGAGCACAGAGAGCACTCGCATAGAAAACGGGCCGAGCTCCGTGTGGAATGCACGCTTGGTGCATCCTTTTCTTGGCCACGCGAGGAGTCAATCGTCCGATGTGTAGCGTCTGCAGGAGCGGCGTCGGCCAGTATCCTGCGAAACATCATGTTTTGGTCGGATCATCTTGTGGAGGCTCACGTACCGAATTCGAAAACGAATGGGCCGGCCTTTCCGCGCCGTCCTCCTCAACGACGTGCTCTTGGATGCGATCGTGTCGTACCAAGACGGGTACTTTGGCGATCTTCGCCCGCGCGTGCAGCAGTGGAAGGCCCTGAAGCGCGATCATGGCGACTATCTCTTGCCCGACGGCGACCGCGTCTCGGGCGGCCTCGACCTCATGCTCAACTGGCTCGGCGCCGACAAGCGCTTCCTGCTGCACATTGCCATCTACGAAGACAATCTGGATCTTGTGCAGCGCTGGCTCGCGTGCTGCGGCCGGTCGTACGTCTCGGCCCAGACGCTCGACTGCGCAGCGCGGTTCGGCCGCCTCCGCCTCGTGCGCTTCTTCCACGAGCTCGGGTGTCCGGCGACGGTCCAGGCCATGAACTCGGCGGCGTGCTACGGCCACCTGGACGTGCTGCGGTTCCTGCACGAGCACCGAACCGACGGCTGCACGAGCAATGGCATGGACTACGCGGCCGAGAACGGTCATTTGGACGTGGTGCGCTTTCTGCATGCGCACCGGTCGGAAGGCTGCTCGATGGCCGCGCTCAACTTTGCAGCGCGCAACGGCCACCTCGACGTGGTCCGCTTCCTGCATACGCAACGCGACGACGGCGCGACGGTCGATGCGATGGACTTTGCGGCGTGCAACGGCCATCTGAACGTCGTCTCGTATCTGCATTCACAGCGCACGGAAGGCTGCACGCGCTTTGCGATGGACTACGCAGCCATCGGCGGCCACTTGGACGTGGTCACCTTCTTGCACGAGTCGCGTTCGGAAGGCTGCTCGACGCTCGCGATGGACGGGGCGGCCGAAGGTGGGCACCTCGACGTCGTGGCCTTTCTGCACCACCACCGCCACGAAGGCTGCACGGACAAGGCTCTCGAAGGCGCGACGTACCGCGGCCGCGAAGACGTTGTCCGGTTTCTCTTGGCGCACCGAAGCGAAGGCGACCTCGAGCACTGCATTGACGTGGCCGAAAAGAGATATTACATGCGGATCCGTGATCTGCTCTGGGCAGAGTACGCCAAGCGCATACCGCATCCTGCACAATAGACGTCTTGTCATATTCTGTTTTAAAACACTGTATGTCGATTGTCGAATTAGGGTGTATGCAAGAGAAGATGCGTCGTGAGCTTCGCGTGCCACCGCGCGCCATGAGCCAGTGCTACGCGATGAACGGTACGCGCTTTGAGTATGTTATCGTTGCTAACTTCGAGCTCAATTTTTGCATTGCTCTGTGGGCGCGGTTTGGAGCGAAATCCAGACAGGCGTCGACGCGCAATCAACGACTCATGACGAGACCACGTGATATCGTCGCAGCACCATGGTGCCAAGAAGCCTCTATGCCCGAGGAAGAAACCAGCGCAGCGTACTGGTATTGTACGCACGTTCTTGTTGTTATGACACTTCGGAATGCTGTCGTCATCTTCACGATGGCGTTAATCGCATCCCAGTCACGGGCTTCAAAGTACCGGCGGTGGTACCGTGTGCTTGGTGCCAACGCCGTGCTCACCGCTACTTCCATACAAACCTGAGACCGCAGCTCAGATGTTTTGGTACGTAGACCTGCAGTCACCTGGCCAGTGGGACAGCCGCGTTGCTTGGCTTCATGGACCAAGCGACTTTTGCAAGTTGCGTCTTGCCAACGCCGCTTGGTCGATAAAGCCATGCGAAGCGGGCTTTGCGACTGGCGAGGCGACTGCAGATCTACGCACTAAAACGCCCGAGACCCTCACATCACCGCTTTCCTTTTGTACGACTGTCTCCCTCGTCGAGTTGGCGCTCCTTGAACGCCTACGCACGTCCATCGTCATGAGAGAAGAATGGAACTATTTCAATAGTACAGGTCGACGCACCCGGACTTCCTTCGGGAGGTAATTAGCACGAAGGCGCGGGAACGGGTCCCTAGGCATCACGTCCGAGTCATCAAACGCCACAGGAAAGATGATGGTGGAGTTGTCGGCGCCACGCGACCTTAGTCAAGAGGCACAGAATGCATATCCAGAGTCGCAAGCAATTTTCTACCTTGCTACAATTGTAGCACCGGATGGGTGAGCGAGAGAGTGCATCCAAGGCTCCGACGAACGACGCTTTTGGGTGTTCTTAGACTACTACTGGACCGTTCATAGCTCGAATCATTGCGTAAAAGAAGGCATAATACAAACAAACGAGTAGTCTTACTACCTCCTCATCGACGCCGAGTTGAGCGCTAAATATCTGGATGTCTAAAAGCACGCTACAGAACGCTCTTGAGCGTCGATGCGGCCTCCATGCACGACGTGCACCATGACGCGAATGACCTGAACGGGTGTGTTGGCAATCTTGGCCCGCACGTGCCACAGTGAAAGGCCATGCAGCGCGACCACGGCGACGACCCCGCACGACCTTGAGCACGCCAAGCGCGTGGGCAGTGTAACCATATTCTGTTTGAAAAACACTGTAATTTGCAATGGGTGCAGGAAAGACCGGAATGCCAGCCAGGAACCAGAGTGTCAAAGTGCCAGCGTGATTGCTGATCGTACGCAAGAGAGGGAGGCGCTACGGGATGCATGACGTCTTGTCCTGTGCTGGCAGCAGCAGCGGGATGTCGGGATGTCCAAGGACCTGGCTGGATATATGAGTCACCCATTGTCTAATAATCGGCATATGCCGTGAACAAGAGACGCGGTGCAGATCGAGCCAGCACGGTCGCGACGTATTAATTCATTCGTACTTGAAGTAAGCACAGCATGCCTTCATGCTACTATGGGACGCATGCGCCGTCGCAAGAGAGCATGATGATTGAAGACGCCGCCTCCGCAATCCTGGTGCCGAGCACCGGTGTGTTCGGCCAATGCCGAAAATAGGCGCCCACACTGCCTCGATTACGCATTTCGTCAACCGGACAAGCGAGTGTATCCGGTTGCCGTGTATCAGTTTTGCTTGCGCAAGTGAAAATGGGGCGGCGAGCCAAGGACGTCGGCGCGCTCTCGCTCGGCCACAGCTGTGGCATCGCCATGGGCGCTGTCTTCGGCATGTTCTGGATGCGCGTCGTCCTTGCCTTCACGTACGTGGAGACCATTTTCTTTATGATCCTGCCCGTCTCGGTCTCGATCCTCGTCGTCGCCGAGCAGCGGTCGCTCGGCCCCATCTTTGACAAGCTGTACGCGCTTCGCCTGCATGGCTTTCGCCTCTGACAACAATCTAGGCTCTTCAAGATCCAGTCGACGGTCTACGTTGCCATCGAGTCGTCGAGCATGCCTCGCAAGACGCGGGCAACGTCGACGACCACCACGCTCACGGAAGGCTCCTTGGCGCAGCACGAGGCGTCGCCCGGCTCGTCGCCGGCTGCTTCGCCTGTCCACAAGCCTGCCATGTATCGAAAGAGCTCTGGTACGGTCTTATCCCTTTCATCATCGTTGACGAGCCATGTAGCTGCGTCCAACTCGTCCGAGCTCATCTCAACCGCGCAGAGCAGCCTCTTTGCCGGCGTGGGCATCGGTCTGCGCGACCACACACTGGGCTTCAACGCAGTGAGCGGCCAGTCCAAGCCCATTTACCTCCAAGAAGTCAACTCGGGCTTCTTTGTGAAATCCGTCGACGGCCGCCTCAAGCTCACGGCGCGCCCGGACGATTCGTGCCTCTTCATCTGGGTCCGCGGCAAGACGCACCACTGGGGCCTCCTCTCGCTCTCGACCCAGCGCTTCGTCGGCCAAAACGTCGTCTCCATGGTCGTGGCCTCGGCCAAGAAGCTGCAAAACTGGGAGGCCTTTCGCGTGCTTCAAAACGGTAGATCGCCGCCGACCTATCCTTCTCAAAAGTATGCATGTAAAATGATAGCGGACGTCCCACCCATGGCTCAAGACGATGCGATCTCGTGCCCGATCCACTTGATTCTGTGCTCGGCGCGCTTTGGCAAAGGTCGCCTCGCCAGCCTCTCTGGTCTCATCGCGATGTACAGGCATGTGGCTCTCCACGCGCATGAAGGAAGGCGACCGCATGCTCTCGCTCTCCAAGAACTATTCGTCAGCGCTCTGCGTGCGGTACGCCTCGGACCTCGTTGCGTTCAAGAAGGACGGGGTCGCGAATGGGCCTCGCCCGTCGCGGTCGTCGTCGTCGTCGTCGTCGCCGGCGCGCGAGTCGTTTGTCGCCGAAGCCCCGACGCTGCCATGGCTCTCTGCGACGGCGTCATTTTTCCAGTCGACGTCGTTTGCCACCATCTTGACGCAAACGCTCGAAAATGTGACGTAAGTCCTTGCATATCTTTTTGGCGCGTCTTAAAACAGAGTGTAGCATGTCGTCGCTGACCAACTTGTTTGTTGACGCGTACGATGTCATGCTGCCGGATGCGTGCGGGAGCTGGTCGAGCCACCCAAGCCTCGGCAATGTCCGGCTCGTGAGCTACCCGATCTCGCCGGGGTCGGTCGACGAGTACCACGCGTGCAAGTTTGAGCACGACGAGCTCTCGTTCAAGATCAAGGTCCAGTTGCACGGCCTTGCGCTCGGCGATACGTTCTCGCTTGAAATCGAGTACCTCCTCAAGAGTCTTGGCGACAAACGCGTGAGTTTGACGTGCCTTAAAGCCGTGCACTGGCGCAAGCCGACGCTCTTCCAGCGCCATATCGAGACGGCATCCCGGGCCGCGGTCCTCGGCAGCGCCCAGCAGCTTGCGGCGCTTCTCGTCGCGCGGAACCACTCGTCCAAAGTGCTCTGGAACCTTCCGACGCTTCTCTACAGCCACGTGCAGCAGCAATTTGAGCGCAACCAGGTCGAACACTTGAACGTGCTCGAGCCACTGAGTTTGCCCTGGAAAGCGTCGACGTCGTTCTTTGAAGGCGAAGATGCGACCAAGACTGTCTATGCTGTCATGTGGCCACTCACGCCAACCACGTACTTCGAGTGGTTTGTCTCGGACGCCAGTGCCTTCTTCCGCAAAACCCACGACGAGAGCAAGCATGTGAACGTCGACATGAGCCCATGGACGTACCACCCCACGCTTGGCCACGTCCGGTGCGTCCATCTACTATCTATCAATCTATCGAGCTCTCAATGGGTGTAGAAAGCAAACGTTTACGATGCCGGTCGAAGGCTTGGCGGGCCACGCGACGACGACGGTGCGCGAGTACCAGTGGTACGAGATGAACGGTACGACGCTCTTGGTAATACTATCCAACAGCTCGTATATATATACTGCTAGATGCACAGCTTCTCCGGTATGGCTCCAAGATCTACGTCGGCGACCTCCCGGACGGCCACGCCTTTTCGGTACGACACCTAACCCTAGGCGGGGTCAGGGCTTCTAGGTGGAAGTGCGCTACGACGTGCAGCTCGACGTGCCGACGCAGACGCAGTGCCGCGTCACAAGCTCCGTGGGCATTGTCTGGACCCACAGCAGCAAGTTCCAAGCAGGCGTGGATGCCGCTGTCGCAACCGCGGTCCCGGCGTCCATGACCACACTCCTTGCGCGCATCAAGGCCAACCAGCACCAAGTCGACGACGTCCGCGAGATCCAGTGGCTTCCGTCTCAAGACGACCTTACGGCTGCGCTGGTCGAAGCCGTCGTGGCGGCCTTGGCGACCGAGTAGATAACCTTTGTCACGCTGCTGGATAACATTTGGTTATATGTGATAACACTTTGGATGGCGTCATAACACGTGTTAGATTGCCTGCTTCGACGGCCTTCGAGAACATCTTGCGGTTTGTATGCACTTTTTCAATATTACTACGGAGGACCATGACACACGTGACGGTCAAGCAGACGACGGGCGCGGCCCACGACGTCGCGATCGACGTGGTGACGGCGACCGTGCTCGATCTCAAGCTCAAGGTGCAGGAACTCCTGCACTGCCCGCCGGAGGCCCAGCGCCTCATCTTCCAAGGCCGCGTCCTCGACGAGAAGGCGACGCTCGCCTCGTATGCGCTCACGGACGGCCTCACGGTGCACTTGGTCATTAACGCCAAGCTCATGCCCGCGGCGACACCGACGCCGGCGCCCACTGCGACAACCGCTGCGGCAAGCTCCACGCAAGTCTCGCTGGTGTCGCTTTTGCCGCTATTGAAGCAGACGACCGCTGGCGTTGCGGCGCTCGCCACGCTCAAGAAGATGGCCGAGAACATCGTCAACCATCCGACCGAAGAAAAGTACCGAAAGATTCGCCTGAGCAACGAAGCCTTGAAGAAGAAAGTGCTGGACGTACCCCATGGCCTCGCCTGTGTCCATGCGATGGGCTTTGCCGCCGGCGTTGAAGAGGTACGACTGCACCCTGTAGGACTATGGTCTAGCTTATGCTATGTACAGGGCTTTCTCGTGCTCGTGCCGACGGCTACCAACTGGGAGCATCTCGTCGCCTCCAAGCGCCTTCTCGACCAAGCCAGTGCACCCGCCGCCGCGCCAGCTTTCGCACCGTCGGCGGCCCCAGCCTTCGCGCCGTCGGCAGTCCCCGGTGGCTTGGGCAGTGACCCGCTGCAGGGCATGCAAGCGATGTTGCAAAACCCGATGCTCGCGTCCATGCTTCAGAACGACCCGCGGATCCAGCAAATGGCGCAGGGCAATCCCATGTTGCAGCAGGCGCTCGCGAATCCCGCGATGCTGCAGCAAGCTCTCGGCGCGGTCCAGAACAACCCGATGATGCGGCAGCAAATGCAGCAGATGATGGCGAACCCGCAGCTCATGGAGCAGATGATGCAAGGTGGCGCCTTCCCCGCAAGTCCTTATGGTATGGGCTACGGCCAACCGCCGGCCGCCGCGTCGCCGTTTGGTGCCCCCGTGTCGCTCTCAACGCCTCCGACAACGGCACCGCCGGCTTCAACCGCCGTCGCGCCCGTAGCACCGCCCGCCCGCTCGGAGGAGGACGAAATCGCCGAAGCCATTGCACGGTCGCTGCGAGAGATGTAGTCGTCGCACTCGTCGAGTAAGCTCCGAATTCTGTTTCATGCGACGTGGGATTCTTCCGTGCGCCGGCATCAAGCACAGCATGCGCTCCGAGCGCCTCCGGGTCGGGTCAGAACGTTCAGATGTCATGTTTGAATGCAAGAAGCCAGCATCGCTGACCAGTTGCGTGCTTTGACGTCACTTGCAGCGCGAACCCATGTCGACTGCCGATCCATCGCCATAGAACGCCCGTGTCTTCGCGCGTTACTACCGTTGCACTGCGGGTGACGCCCGCGTCGCTGCCGCCGCCGCCGCCGCAAGGACCTCGGGTCATAGAAGCCCTACTGCGCAGGCGCAGGCAGAGGGTCGCATGGCATGGCTGCTGGTAGCATACGCCTAGCGTCAACGATTACGGACGTGGCACGCCTGCGTGGCGAAATTTAATTCCGAAATATTCGAAAATCAATTATAATATGTGAAGCCAATACAACCAAAAACCAAGTCGACGAGGGCAGCGAGGACGATGGAGTGGTGTCTTGGCGGCGCTTCCGTCGAGCTCGTCATGTACATCACCATCGCGCTGGCGTCGATTGCGGTGCTTGGCCGCGCGCTCTTTGGCCCCATGATGCTCTTCGGGGACTTTGCCAAAGAAAAGTCGTCGACGCATCTGCTTGGCGGCCGGAAGAGTCTTATTGCATGGCGCCGCCGGGCCATGAAGAACGTCGACCAGGTATGTACGATGCGAGCCGAAGCAATCCGGCTCAGGGTGCGATGCGATGCTAGCACATCCTCGAGGACATTACGACGCTCGGCGACCATGTGCTCGATGGCTACGTCACGGTCAAGAAGGGCGCGGCGAGCAAGGTCTGGAAGAAGCGCTGGGTGATCCTCGACGCGTACGCGCGCATCAAGTGCTACTCGAACGCCGAGGCCGCGCGGCGCAACTCGGCGCCCAAGCACACGTTCACCGTCCACCAGGTCGAAGTCGACGCCTCGAGCCAAGCGACTCTCGAGCTGCGCAACACGCTCGGCGCCACGTACTTTTTCCAGTTTGACGACGAATTCAAGATGAACAAGTGGCTCCTCGTGCTCCAAACGCGCGCCGTCCAGAGCACCATCACGGGTGCGTCTTCATCGTCTTCCATCGTCTCCATGGCATCCGCTTCCTGTAGGCCGCATTGACCCGATGGATATGCACCACGAGCTGCACAACCTCCATGCGCCGCGCATGGTGCACTCGCTCAACATTGACGTCGACAACTTCCTCGTCACGGCGCTCAAGGAGACGTCGATGCGCCAGTACTTTCTTGTTGCCAAGTTCAAGTCGGAGCTCCATGACCACTCGATGGTGCCCGTGGGGCAGACGAGCCAGCAGCGTGTGAACGAGGTGCGACTACGTTCTTATTGTCAATAATGTCTTACACGGCGTAGACGACCAAGTCGGTGGTGTGGAACGAACCGCTGACGTGGAGCTTCCCGGACCACGAGTGCAACACGTGCGACGAGTGCCAGAGCCTCGGCATCACGGGCATGTTTGGCGGCCTTCCCGACATCCTCGTCGTGCACGTCCACGAAGTCACGATGCGCGTCAAGACGACCAAGATTGGTCGCGTCACGATCTCGCTCAAAGAGCTCTTTGGGCCCGCGGGCGTCCTCCGGTGCGACCCTTCGTCTCGCGTGCCTCTCTCAATGGCCTGCATCTAGCTCGACCGTCGAGGCCAAATGGCCCATTTTGGCGACGACGCAGAAGAACCAGACCAAGGAGTCGATCTTAGGGACGCTCAACGTCAAGCTGGCCTACTCGACCGAGCACGCGCCGTCGTCCGAGTGCGAAGCCGACCCGATCGTCCCGTTTTTGACGTCCGAGCCGAAAGACCTCGAGCTCATTGGCGAGTTTGATCTGCCGGCGTCCATCGCGACGTTTAAAGAGTTTGTGGAAACGTACCACAGCAGCGTCGATGAGCCGCCGGAAGGCGCCATGTCCTCCAACCCGATCTGGGAGGCATACTACAAAGAGCGCGGCGACACGGAGGTCCTCTGCCTCGTCCAGCTTGTTGATTGACAATGTCGGTGCTAGATGGAGCGCGAGCCGTGGGAGCCGTCGCTCATGTACGGCGGAGTCGTGCGCAAGGTGACGTTCCGGTCGCTCACGCACGCGCCGATTGGCCCGTCGTCGACAATGACGACGAATACGTGGCACATGGCCGGGTACCTCCCGGCCGGGTGCGGCCCCGAGGTCGACGAAGGCAACGAGATGAAGCAGAGCATCCGCGTGCAGCTGCATGACATTCCGTACGGCGACTGCTTCACCGTCGAGCACGTCACGGTGTTTGAAAAGACCGAGCATGGACCGATCCACGTCAAGATCTACCTCGCGATTCCGTTCTCGAAAGGCTGCATGTTCAAGAGCAAGATCCTCACGCAGACCAAGTCGACGGTCGCCGAGTCGTACGAGCTCTTCTACCGCCTTCTGAACGAGCGCCACGATGCGATGGCCGATGGTGGCAGCAGCAAGGAGCCGGCGCTGCTTCCGCCGCCGCACCGCCTCGCGCGCCTCTGCTCGATCATTGACGAAGAAGTCGCGTTGGAAGAGATCTTTGAGAACCAGCGCGTCCATATCTTTGGGAAATGGGAGCCGAACCACTTGTGGCCGACGGACCGCCCCCGCTTCTCGAACCGCGAAGGCACGAAGGAGCTCGCGTTCGATGGCGTGACGCCGCCGCGTGGCTGGACATGGACGTCCGAGTGGAAGATCGACAACAAGTACACCGAGTGCGACGAAGAAGGCTGGAGCTACGCGACGGACTTTCCGCGCTTCAAGGTGCATTTGGCCAAAGGCAAGTCGAACGCACGCAAGGGCGGCAACTCGGTGCGCCGTCGCCGCTGGATCCGCACCATGTGCGTCATTCCCGACAGCACCAACGAGTAGTAGACGCAATGTACACAGACACAAGACACGGATAAATATATGAGGATGACACACCGACAACGACGACGACATGGAGGACGACGAGGCGGCTACGAGACGTAGATCTTTTCCATGGTCAGCGGCGCGCCCCACTCGAACGTGCCACGGAGGAGGAACGCGCCGTACTTGTTCTTGCCCGCGCCTTCGACCTCGTACGTCGTCGGCGACAGCGGCGTGAACGACAGCGTGACCTGCTTCTCGACGACGCGCTGCGGCTTGCCCTGGAACGGTTGCAGCAGAAAGTACCCTTCGTAGACGCCGCTTTTCGGTCGGTTCATCTCCATGGTGGCGTCCGTGCACTTGATGCAACGGTACGAAAACTTGCTCAGCGTCTGCCCCGGCTGCTCAAACGCGGTCGACGAGAAGCCCCACGACCCGCTCCACTTGACTTCGTTGTAATAGACTTCGTACGCACCGCGCAGCACGGGCTTTGGGGTTGCGTCAAATGCCATGTCCAGCTTGCACTGGACCGGCGCCGGCGTCGTCGGAAGCGGCGCCTCCACAGGCGCTGGCGGTGTAGCGGGTGGCGCTGGCGGCGCTTCGTCGAGCGTGCTCACGCTCGAGATGCTCACAAGGTCGTCGTCCGAGTCCGAGTCGGGCAGCAGCCCGAGGTACCGGTCGTGGGCGGCCATGGCGGCCATGGTCAACGGCGGCGAGTCCATCGTCGGCTCGGGCACGTCCTCGATGGCGGGCGACTCGGCGCTGAGCTTCCGGCGCTTGGACTCGTGGCAGCTTGTCTCGGTCGTCCCGGCCATGGCAAAGATCTTTTTTTCGAACGGCGGAAATTAGAAAATGACGACAAAGGTATCCTTTTTGGAGCCGGATCTCGGTCGTCGATGATTGGCTAAAAGTCCGTCGGTTAGGCCTGCGCAGCGATGATTGGCCACTACGGTGTCCTTTCGCTCTTTCTCGCGTTCGGATTCGCTGCATTTCAGCGAATCATCGACTATCGAAACCGGCCCGCCCTTGAAGTTCGAACGACGAGCCGAGCGTTTTGGCGCCGGGACAGGCGGCCGCCTCTGCAAGGCGACGGCAATGGCCTCACGAGCTCTCTCTTCCGAGCTGCTAGCGGCAAGAAGCAGGTCGACCTCGACTGCGCGCCGGTGCAGTGGCGTAACACAATTCGACCAACGTTCTGGGGCAAGCCCAGTTGCCGTCCGGCGAAGGCGAGCAAGCATCTGCACGTGGAGGCCCGTTATAGGATATCCTTGGAGAAGCCGGCGGTTGCGACGTCAGCGGTTGCCACGTGTCGGTTATTCCAACACTAGATTGAGCAACGCGGCAACGAGACTGCAAGAGTACAGTAGGGTGAGCTCGTCCGGTGGGCAGCAAGCTCAAGACCATCTCGCGGACGGTCGTATTGGTCTGGCAGCAACCACAAAGCTCAAGCAGCAACGCGAGGCCACGAGCTACGACGAGAGAACGAGGCGCTCGACGACCGACTGCGTCGGTGGGCCAAGCACGTCCGCACTGTGCGTCGATTGTTCCTCCATGTTCGCACGTACTACAACGTAACACTGCACGAGGACCTTCTTCGAGTCGCCGAAGGAAGCGCCCGAGGTTTCCGCGTGTCCATTTCACCATTGGCAGCGCTGGATTTTGGATTTGTGGTAACCGGCTAAAAACACGCAGTTGAGGTTTTGTGTCACGGCGTGGTGGGCCAGCCCGGACTTGAACCTGATCGGGTGCACGGTAGTGGACCTGCAGTTTATCGGCGGCTGTCTGCAGCCAGCATCCACACGGCCGTCGCCATATCCCGCTACGGTTTTCCAACCGGTTCAAACGGGCTCTAATCGGTACTAAGCGAGTATTCGAAGGGTCTGTCGCAGCTTCGCGGCGCTTCGTCCCCCGCCGCTTCCTCCTGCAAGAGTTCATTCTGCTTCGCCGCGATCCGTCGTGTGATTGGTATGCGCGTTCATGTCGCAACTCAACTTTGAACCTCACGTTTGCAAGCTGGTGGCACGTAGCCGAAGTTCTACTTCCGGATCTTCGGATTAACCGAAGTTGCAACCGCCAATAAGAACGCGGCGCGCTGTCGCGTGGATTGCCAGCGGCTCGATCGCTGGCCATTCTGCAATTTCCTCCACAGCGTCCCTTCCCACGCCACCATGCTGCGCCACTCGTCGTCGCTCCTTCGCCGGACGCTGAGCTCGTCGACGCACCGCCCCAAGATCGCCGAGAGCATCACGGACCTCATTGGCAACACGCCGCTGCTCTACCTGAACAAGGTGACCAAGGGCTGCCACGCGCGCATCGCCGTCAAGTGCGAGTTCATGGAGCCGGCGAGCAGTGTCAAGGACCGCATCGGCTTGAGCATGATCAAGGTCGCCGAGGAGGAAGGCAAGCTCAACAAGGACTCGATCATCGTCGAGCCCACGAGCGGCAACACGGGCATCGGCCTCGCCATGGCCTGCGCCGCCCGCGGCTACAAGCTCAAGATTGTCATGCCCGACTCCATGTCGATGGAGCGCCGCATCTTGCTCAAGGCGTACGGCGCCGACCTCGTGCTTATGCCGGGCGCCCGGGGCATGACGGGCGCGTGCCTCAAGGCCGAAGAGATTGTGCGCGAGACGCCAAACGCGATTCTCCTCCAGCAGTTTAAGAACGCGGCCAACCCCAAGATCCACTTTGAGACGACGGGCCCCGAGATCTGGCGCGACACGGACGGCAAGATCGACATCTTTGTCGCCGGCGTCGGCACCGGTGGCACCATCACGGGCACGGCCAAGTACCTCAAGCCCAAGAAGCCGGACGTCAAGATCGTGGCCGTCGAGCCCGAGGAAAGCCCCGTCCTCTCGGGCGGCGCGCCGGCGCCCCACAAGATCCAGGGTATCGGCGCTGGCTTTGTGCCCGAGATCCTCGACCGGTCGCTCATTGATGAAGTGATCACGGCCAACGCGCCCGAATCGATGGCCATGGCCAAGCGGTGCGTGCTCTCTAACTCTTATTACGAGCGAGTCGAGAACTCACGTTGTATCTAGGCTGGCGGTCGAAGAAGGCATCCTCGTCGGCCCTTCGTCGGGCGCCGCCATCATTGCCAGCTTGAAGCTCGCCAAGCGCCCTGAAAACGCTGGCAAGCTCATCGTTGCGATCCTCCCGAGCTTTGGCGAACGCTACTTGAGTTCCGCGTTGTTTGACGAAGAGCGGGAAAGCGCCGCGAACCTCCCGACGACGCCCGTCGACTAAACGTTGTCAATTCCATGAGTCTTTCTGTACCACGTCTAGCGCTGTGGGACGCTTCGCTGCAAAGCTCGTCTACGCACTCGTGTGGCCCACGTCGCTAGCAAAGGGTGGGACGTCCTGCTGGTCGTCACGCTTCAGTCCACAGCGTCCAAAGGCTGTCCTGTGAGTCGTTGAACCAAGACGCCCTGCGCCAGCCTCCGTCGTCCGAATGCCTAGATGACTTGCTGTCTCTACGTCGCAGTAACCAGCACACGGCAAAGCTATGGCTGTGGCTCTTGCTCGTCAAGCGAGGTTGAGTCTGATGCTGACCAGGGTCGTCGCTACGGAGGCTCTAGATTGCATGATTGGCTTTGGATTGGCTCATCGATTTTTCAACGTTTTTAATTGGGTAGCAGCATCCAATCAATGCAGCGTTCGTGGCATCGAATCGGGTACGAATTCCGGATGGTATCCGGTATTCTATAAATACGCGATAAAATCCGAAACTGCTCGGCTGCAGGACGGACGTCGGTTGCCATTTCGGCTTCCGACATTGCGAGGATCATGGGTCGCTGCAAGAAGACGCTGCTGGCGCTCGTAGCGCTCGCCTTCCTCGCAGGCCGCGTACACGGTACTCCGGCCTTGGCCAGCGACTGCACCTCGGACGCCGACTGCCCCGATGGCACGGGCTGCATCACGGTCAAGCATGCGTCGTACAACCCAAGCGCCGTCTTGAGCAAGTGCACGCCCAAGCAACTCTGCCGCGGCAGCAGCGTCGGCAACTGCCCGAGCTTCAACGCGCCGTCGGCGCCAGGCGGCTACCTCCAGACGCAGTGCGTGTTTCTCAACACGACGCGCCTCCGCAACATCAATTGCTGCACGGGCAACAGCGCTGGGACGACGACGACGGGCGCCGGCTTTTAACCAACGGAACGACAAGCGACTCGACAATCACAAGCCAGAGCAACCTACCAGCCGACAGCTCCGACTGCTTCCAGTGCTACCGCGACCCGCTGCCGCCCAAGGGCTCGACGGGGTACTACGCGGGGCAGTTCTTTTGCGTACCGCAGCAAGAGTGCAAGACGTCGAGTGCCTTCCCGCTAGCCTGCAACAGCGGCAACCGTACGACCCTCCTCTCCATTGGACCATCGTCATGACGTACTACATAGTGTGCAACTCGGGTCTCAACGAGCTCTGCAACCTTCACGGCACGTGCACGCCCCTCGATATCAACGACCCGAAAAGCTCGTACGGCTGTGCGTGCAATGCCGGCTTCTCGGGCGGTCAATGCGAAAACGTCGTCAGCAGTATGTCGCTGTCCATACGATACCGAGCCTTCTTCACACCTCGGAGCAGGTGCCTGCCTCTTTGACTGCGGCGACGGCAACACGAAAGGCACGTGCATTGACGGCCAATGCGTCTGCAAGAAGGGCTGGAGTGGCCCGCAGTGCACGCAGTGCACGTCCGACACTGCTTGCGGCGGTGGCATTTGCAACACGGGCTCGGGCCAGTGCTCGTGCCTCACCAACACGACGACAGCGTACCAGCGCATCTCCAACGTCTGCTACCCCGGGGTACGGCCATAACCTCCCTCTCTTCTCCAGTTACAAAGCCTGGTTGTAGGGTGCAATGGCAAGCACGATCGACGCGTGCACCGGTGTCGTTTGCGGCGCGCTGGGCGCTTGCCAAGCCGGTGCGTGCGTCTGTGCACGCGGCTGTGCCGGAACGATCTGCAAGCCGTGCGCGGACCTCTCGTGTCGCTCGTGCAGCAGCCCGGCGGTGGCCCTTCGCCCGTCGCTCGGCTTCGCTGCCTCGATCCTGCTTGCGGTCCTTGCCTATCTTCGTGTCTAAGCGTCATCCAACGCTGACCATGTACTTCATCTTTCAACGCTTTCGTATCCGCCTGTCTGAGATTGCACTTTGCGGACCAGGACGGAAAAAACTGCGACATGTGCTATGATATGGACGACGACGACGACGACTAGGAGGACGCGCGGTCCTTCATGACCTCGTCAAAGAGGAGCTTCTTGAGCTGCGCGGGCTGCACCTTGCGGTAGTCAATGTTGGGCGGCGGTCCTTCGTCGGCCTCGGTCGGCACAAACGTGAGCTGCTCGAGCGCTTCGTTGCGGCACGAGTCAAAGTACGGGTGCGCAATGGCCTCGACCGCCGAGATGCGGTCGTTCGGGTCAAATTGCAGCAGTTTGTCGAGCAAACTTAGCGCCTACACCCTCGGTCGTCCTCAACTCGTTGCTTTTTCAAAAGTACCTCGGGGTTGGCGTGGGGAAAGACGTCGGTCCACGCCACCTTGGCGATGAGCGGACTCTGCGTCAAGAGCTGGCGGCCCGCAAACCGGCGCGCCGACGGGTTGTCGCAGAAGGAAAATGTCGACGGCGTGCCCACGACTTCAATGATGACCTACACGCGATGACGCGCTGCCGTCATCATTTTAAGGCTACCTTGAGCTGGTCCACGTAGCTCTTGCCAGGAAAGAGGACGCGCCGACCGAGGAGCTCGCCAAAGATGCAGCCGACGCTCCACACATCGATCGACATGGCGTACGCGTTGGCCAAGAGGAGCTCGGGGGCGCGGTACCTAGCCCGATTCGATCAGAGATCGCACAGCGGTCGACAATGTTACCATCGAGTAACGACGTATTCGCTCAACCCTTCCTCGAGGTCTTGGTCGGTCGCAAAGCGTGCGAGGCCAAAGTCGCAGATCTTGACCGCGCAATCCGAGTTGACCAAAATATTGCTCGGCTTGAGATCGCGATGGAGGACGTTGGCCGAGTGGATGTAGGCGATCCCACACAAGATCTGGTACATGAGGAACTGAATGTGTTCGTCCGAGAGGTGCTCTTTCGAGTGGATCACGCGGCACAAGTCGGTCTCCATGAGCGACTGAACAATGTACAAGTCGTCAAATCTACGCGCCACATGTCACACCATCCAAAAACACAGCAAAAAACACGTACGTCTCGAAGCTCAGGGGCCGCTGCAGCTCGTGGATGCCCATGATATTCGGGTGCGACCCGACCTTGTTCATGAGCTGAATCTCGCGGAACGCGAGCATGGCCACCTTTGGGTGGCGCATGAACTGGCCAATCTTCTTGATCGCAAACGTGCCGCCGTGGATGCAGTCGCTGGCCGCAATCACGACACCGTACGTGCCCTTACCCACGACCTTGACCATGCGGTACTTGTCCGCGACCGTGAACGTCGCGTCCCCAATGATAAACTGGTGCAGGCCCCGGTCGTCCGCGACAAGCGACGGCGTCGAGAGCGTCTTGGTAGCTATCTCGGCGCTGCTGCTCTCGTCGGCAATGAACGAGCTCAGCATCGCGCGCGGCCCGGTCGTCGACGGCCTGTTGGCGGTTGGCGGGCAGCCACGGGAACGACGCTGGCCGCGTCGCCTTGGACGCGGTGGTCGGCGACGGCGGGAGACGACTGAGCGGCGCAATGTGCACCTAATTGAAAAAGGGCATTGAACCGAGGCGGTGGGTTCGGCGATGGACGCACCGAGAGCACCATCTTGCCAAAGAAGCTTTCGTTTGCGTTCGAGAGCGTGTACGTTTGCCAGTTCGAGTCCATGCCCGCGCGGTTGAAAAAATACGCGAGGTTCACGGTCGTCCGCGCCAAGACCTCGTGCGACGTGACGAGGCAGAATTGGACTAGGCCGAAGAGATCCCGAAATCCGCAATGTACAAAAAAGAGGTACCGCCAAGGAGCGTGTTGTCATCGCGCGAGAGCGAGTCGAGCTGCAGGAGCACGTCTTGGTTGATTTCAAAGTGGCAGAGGTCGGTCTCGACCGCGGACGCCGTGAGCACCTTGGTCTGTGCTTCCGTGTGCCACTCGTTATTTCGTTTCAAACGCACAGCGCACAAAATAGCGCTACGCCACGACATGATTTATCCAGCATTGACACGGACCAGAGAGTGCAATGTGTACTGCGTCGGGTCGACGCGGATGCCATGGAGCGTCTTGAACTTGATCGAGACGACGTAGCCGCCGACAAAGGACTCGCGCACGCGCTCCGAGTGCGACGGCAGCGTCAGGTTCATCGAAAACCCCTGCGGTTTAAACACCACGGACGCAGCGACCACGTCCCCAAAAATCTCCCACCTACAAAGCGTCGATGAACCATGAACCGATCGATTGAGTTGGTGTACCGCGAGATGCGCCCGTCTTCGCGAAAGTGCAGCTTGTGGACCCAATGCTGCATAAAGGTCGCGTTCGAGGCGCGCACTTGCATCGTTTCCTTGCCCGAGACGACGACGATCCGCTTCTCGCCCTGGCCCTCGCAGCTCATGCCGTCCACCGAGAACGACTTGAACTTGACCGCGCGCGAGAGGTTGGTAAAGTAGTCGAGGATGCCTGCGTACTCGCGGTACGTGCCTACGCATATCTCTGTCAACCCACACCAAAGTATACCATTTTCCATGAGGTTCGCACCGGCGAAGGGCACCATCGGCAGGTAGTTGGACCGCAGCACGACGTCGGGACACAATAGTGAGAAGAGCCGACACAAAATGTGGTCGGTTTTCGGCCGAAGCGACGCGATCGGCGCGTTCGGTATGACTTCCATGCTCACGCGGTGGCGCTTGGGTGTCTAATGCGATGGTCATCAGCGACCGCAGAGCTCGGTCATATCTCCGGACCTGGTACATCTTGACGCGGTCTTCGAGCTCACAGAGCGATGCGTACGCATGCTCGTACGCCGCGTAAAAGTCGGCGAGGCCCACCGACCGGAGCGGGCCGCGACGCCGCAGCCCGCCGCTCTCCATGTCCGTGTCGGCGACGCCGTGGGTTGCCATGTGCATCCAGAGCTGCTTGCTCGCCTCGCTCTTCGCGCGCAATTGGAGCTTCTTGGCGTTCTGCGTCTCGAAAATGAAGCGGAATGGCACGTGCTTGGTCGTCTTTGGGCTCGACGCGGGCGGTGACGTCGGCGCATCACCAGAGTCGTAGTCGTCGTGCGTGCGGAGGTCGATGACCTTGTCCAAGACGACCTTGTCGCTGAACGTGAAGCGGCCGTCCTTGATTTTGGAGTTTTCCGGATGTAGCCGCGCGTCGTCTTCGGAGAGATAGCAGCAGAGGACGCGGCCGTGCAACACAAAGTAGTACGTTTCCCAGTGCTTGAGCCAGTCGGACCGCTTCATGAGGTAGCCTTCCCAGTGCAGCGACAAGCTGGGTTCGTAGAGCCCGCGGAGACCGACCACTTTGGGCACGGCGACGGCGTGGGTGGCCTTGAGGTTGGACGCGCTAAAGCTCCGAAGCCGCGCGGCTTCGGTGGAAGGGTCCTGTGTCGCGTTCCCGTTGATGCGCTGGAGAAGCTCGGGACCGCTCGCGGTGCGCGAGAGCAAGTCGGATGCTGCACTGCTGCTCGGCGCGGCTACCGGGAGCATGGGCGGTGGCGTCGCCGACTCCTCGTCCGCCGACGACGAGACGTCGGTCGCGTCAAGCCCGACAAACGATTGCTGGTAGCTCAGCCGCGCGGCCGTCGACAAGCGATCTTCGCCGCCCAAGACGCTGTCGGCGAGGATCTCGACGGCGAGCTCGCATGGCTTGCCGTCGATGACCCGGCCGGGTGGCATTCTTCGCGGGAGCGATGTGGACGGGCTGCGGCGCTTGGCCTCTTCCGAGTCGCGGGGCATCCTACGCGGAGCGCCTGCATGAGCGGCGTCATCACCTTCGCATGATGTCTACTTGGAGCTGTAGTACTGGAGGTTATACGACAAGGCCCCGGCTCCTTGCTGGAACATCCACGCTGCCGCTCCGAACACCCAAATGGCACGTTCGGCCAAGTGGCACCGTATCCGGATCCGGCTCCGGGTGTGCGCAACGCAAACCGTCTCAAGTGCTGCAACATTTATCCAAATGGTCCTATTACCACCGCGCTGGTCGGACTGTCCCTCGTCCCTCGACCGGGCCAATAATATGAACGCCAACACGCACTATAATACAGGACGATAAGCTTCCGGCGGTCTGCTGCAGTCAACGGAGCAGCGACGCTTTAAGACGACGCGCTGTTTCTCCCGGCATGACGACTTGTCTCTGCCACCACTTCGAGCACATTGCTTCGATGCTGTTGCGTCAACTGATGCGGCCTTTCTTGGATGGTTGCAAGTCCTCCTCCGCACCTCACGTCGTTCTCGTCCGAGTTGCACAAGGCGCCATAGCGTGCGAGGAGCCACCAAGATCAATCTTACGACCACCATTAGGCTCCGTGTCTGTGATGTTGCTCGCTCTCCTTTGTAGGAGCGTCATTTACATATCCGTGTTGCTGCGAGATCCGACTGGTTTCCTCGGTTTCCATGGGTTTCGGTGCCAAGGGCAAGAAATCATTGAGACGTTATCGATAAAATGATAATGCGTATCCGGACCCTCAAGCTTTCGATGGGCAGATGGCGCAATCTTCAAGCCCAGCGCAACGTGCCACCCGAAGCCGTCGGGCGCGCCGCCATCGCGAGTGCTCATATGCGTACACTAGTCGTCTCGTGGCGTGGTGCGATGCTCCGTACTGGCCTCGGTCCATGCACCTGCCGCAATGACCAGAAGATGAAGGACATTGTGCGTGAACGCTACATGCTACTACTAATCAATGTCGAGGTCGACCTCTTTTTGCTGCTGGTACGACCGCCGAATGGGCTGCTTCTTGGGCCGCGCCGAGTAGGCAGGCGCCGACTGCCGAAGATCGCTTGTCGCGGAAGCGTCTTGGATGCGGTTCATAATGGTCTGCGCAATCTGGACGAGCGCCGTCACGTCGGCGTCGCGGAGGCTCGTGCGTGGCGTATGGTCGAGCACCGAGAGCACGCCCAGCAGCACGTGCTCGGACGAGAGTAGCGGGACGCCGACAAAGAACTGCACGCTGCGGTCGACGACGATCGGGTTGGCCGCGAACCGCACGTCCCTCGTCGCGTCGAGGACGATGAGCGGGCGCTGGCTACTCACGTGGGCTTCCAAGAGCACGTCCCACGATAGCAGGTCGCGCTGGACGCCGTGCTTGGCGACAAAGTACCCGCCTTGCGCGCCAAAGATGCAGACGGTGCCCATGGCGCAGCGCAGCGACTTGCACGCGAGCGTCACGTACAGGTCGAGGTCGTCTCGGCGGCGGCAGAGGTCGAGCTCCGTCGCGATCGCCGCGCGCATGTCGTGCTCGTGTGGCGGTCGCAGCGGCGGGTCCGGCCACGGGTGACCGCGCTTAAAGTTGAGCGGCGCCTCCAACGGCGAGTTGCTCGTGATACAGCCATGCCCTGCCTCATGGCGACGCCGGGGCGACGGTACGTTTCCGGCTGTGGGGGAGCAGAGCCGAACGGGCACGGGCGGCGGAGACTGGCGTCGGGGTGGCGGCGACCGCCGCGTGGTCGAGGGTCGTGCGTGCGGCGTCGGTATGTGGGCAACGTCGTCGGGGCTCAAAGCGTCGGCTGGCGGCTGCCACGACGGCCGCGTCTCAAACGACGGCAGATGATCGAGCTTGATGGTCGAGAGCGAGTCGCGCTGGACAGGATGCTGTCCAGATGATGACCCGAGGCCCTTGAACGCGAGGGCCGATGCGTCCGTGTCGCCATGGACTTCCCACCTAAGACGCATCAGATCGTACTAGTATCCTCATCGTCGTCATGGAGTTGTACCGCAAGATGCGTCCGTCGTTGGGCAGCATGTAGAGCTTGTGGAGAAAGTCTTGTCGGAGGACCTTGCCGGTCGCACGCACCTGCATGCTTTCATGACCTTTGGCGACGACGACGATCTGCTTGGACGACGACTCGACGATCTCGAGGCTGTGCACGGCGAACGTGAGGAGCTTCGCGGCCTTGGTGAGCTTGGTGAGGAACTCGAGGAGTCCGTGGTGCCCCGAGTAGGCGCCTTGGAACGGCACGACGACGCGGTAGTTGGTGCGCAGCGCGAGGCTCCGGTGGCACACGGAGATGAGACGCATGACCGCGCGGTCGATCGACGGCGCGGCCACTGCGAGCGCGATCGTGGTCGTCGGCCGCACGACCTGGCGCGGCGGGATCTTGAGCTCGAGGACCTTCTCGCGGGCTTCGTCTTCGAGTGCACTCAGCGACGACTGCACGTACGCAAAGGCGACGTACGCGTCGCGGAGCGTGGCAGGTCGGATGGTCACGTCGACGGGCGCGACGCGGCCGCGGCTGTCGATGCGCGTGTCGTAGATGCCCTGCGACGCCATCGCGATCCACACCGCCTTCATGGCTTGCGACTTGGCGCGGAGGTAGAGCGGCTTGCCACTCGACGTTTCCAAGATAAAGTCGAACGCGCCGTGGCTGTGGATCGAGACGACGTGCTGCAGTACGACGTGCGACGTGAACGAGAAGGCGCCATGCTTGATCTTGGAGTTCTCGGGCTGCCGCTTCGCCTCGTCCGCCGAGAGATAGCAGTAGAGCGCGCAGCCGTGCAGCACAAAGTAGTAGGCTTCCCACTGCTTGAGCCAGTCGGACCGCTTCTGAAGGTAGCCCTCCCAGCGCGTCGTCACGGCGACGGCCGGCGTGTCTACGCTCGCTGTCGTCGTCGTCTCGTGGTCGAGCGACCCGATCGTCGCGCAGGCTTCCGACGCCGCCATGCGAGACTACGTATCAAGGTGTTGCAGTTCTTGAGCCATGGGAGCCAGAGTCGAATGGCTCCGCTTTTACCGACAGCGTCACCCCGCCTGGTGGCGTTGCACGTTACGTTGGCGAGCCTTTGTCGCCCCGCCCGTGACGCGCCGCTCGGGACAGTGGCCCAGGAACAGCGCGACGCCAAGTGGGCGCAGAAGCAGAGCAGGAAGCAGAGGACCTTTACGCGTTGGTCTGTCGGCGCTCGCGGGTTCCGGGTGCAATGCCGGTTGGTCAATACGGAAAGGCATCAAGTGCACTGTTTCAAGATGCTGGATGATGCAATGCACTGTGACAGGAAGAAGCACCTCGGTGGCTCGGACCGCCTCTCGCATGCCATGGACGGATAGAACGAGGTGGACGCGTAGGGTCGTGCATTGCGCGAGCGTGTCGTACGCAGGACGCACGGTTGCCACGCGCAAGCTCGTCGCTGAGCTCTGGTGCCAAGGGCGACGTCAGAGCTGCAACGAAGCGCGCCAAAGACGGTAAACGCGTGCTACCAAGGGCATCAATGTCCTTGGTGCCACCGTTGCTCGTGGGGTGTATAGTATATACCCGGTACGCAAAGGTATCATACTATTACTAGTGTAGGACGTCGGTTCCACACACGACTTGAAGAATGCCAGAGGACGTCGCCTCGTCTAACAGAGTCGGTGGGTCGATCTCGCCAAGATCCTTGGCGACCTCATGGCGGCTGCAGTCGAACCTCGTGCGACTCATGTTACTGAAACAACGGTAGCGCAGTCGTTGGACAATGCTGATGGTGTGATCGCATCCGCAGTTAGCAGGCGTGGCGATGGGGTGACACGGTCGGGGTTGCTAGGAAGCAGGATCCTTTTGTGTGCCCAATCAGACGTGGCCCAAGGCTTCCGTGGTCGATTGCCGATCAATTGCTTCGTGTGTTGGGGACCGGAGTGCACTACCTATACTCATCGCAGAACGCGCGCCTTTGCGGCGGTGATAACATCACAAGAGCCACAGGGCGGAGCTCGCTTTCTATGTGCCTGTCGTCGGGTGGCCTGCCTTTCATCGCTGGATGAGCGCGAAGAGCAATGTGGCTGCGAGTGATAGCGGGCGGTTCCTTAACGTTGGGCGATCCGATCCGTGAAGCTCATCTGGGCAGGCAGGCGATGCGCCATAGCAACGCGTCGCGAAGCACCACGAAGATTCTTGAACCACAAACCGCCACGTCGTCCCGGCGGTGCGGCACCGCTCAACGCATCCGCCCATCGTGGTGAGCTTTGCGCTTGTCGCCTTCTCGTCTTGTCGCTTCGGGATCCAGGATGGCGCATCGTACCCAATGAATCTTGGTGGCGTTCACGACCATCATGTCTCGTCGTCCTCGGTGACCTCCATGGAGCTTCAGAACGCACTGTTGAAGACTACAAAGACGCAGACGTCGTCGTGGTACTGCAGCCGTCGCTTAGCCAATGCTTCTGGCTTCGCCCTCTCAAATGTATGGCTTCCCTGGATGAACCGTGGAGATTGCTGCCGAAGACCGTCAGCCCACGTGCGACAAGGCATTCCACAGCTTCGATCGAAGTTGCCATCATCAGGATGTTGACGTCAGCAGTCAGTAGGGCTCGGGTACATTCGTCTAATGTATCGGGCCGGCCTTGCCGTTGCATTCAAGAGGTGGCTTCGAACTTCGATGCTCCATCGACGGATGCGTATCATTGGTGCGTTCTTGGCGGGCGGCGTTTCTCATTGGGCCGGCCCGACGGATCGTATCCGGCTTCCGGATACGAGCGTGAAACCACAAAAACACGCATGGGTGGTGTTGAGTGGTGAATGGCGCGGCGTCAAATTCGGCTCATTTTGCTTTTTCTGCTCAATTGACACGATGGACGTTGCTGGTGGTAAGGGTGATGCGGCCGCGGGTGCCAAGATCTTCAAGACCAAGTGCGCGCAGTGCCACACGTGCAACCCCGGCGGCGCCCACAAGCAGGGCCCCAACCTCTCGGGCTTGATCAACCGCCAGTCCGGCCAGGCCCCCGACTACTCGTACTCGGCTGCCAACAAGAACTCGGGTGTCACGTGGACGGACGAGACGCTTTTCGAGTACCTCCTTGCCCCCAAGAAGTACATCAAGGGCACCAAGATGGTCTTCGCCGGCCTCAAGAAGCCCCAGGAGCGCCGCGACTTGATCGCTTACCTCATCGAGGCTTGCGACCCCAACGCCGCGTAAATTCGCCCGTTCTATTTCACGTTTAGATATTGCTAGTTTGATGCTGGCGCGCCATTGCCCTTTTGCGGCATTAGAGGAATAACACGCTTTGTATCTATAAGAACCTCGAGTTCCGAAACGCTCACGCAGCAGCTCCGAGACGGCAAGCACGACAGGCGCTCCGCAAGCAGGAACTCGCAAGTTGGAGGTGGCACTGAGCGATGAAGCGCCGAGAAGGATGGCTGCTATGCGTATCCGGTTGATGGGGATCGGCCCTCGTCTCGACACCAGACTCCATCCGAGATAGGAATGAGATCTTGGCCTAGCCCCGTGTCTGCAATTGGCACAAGTATCTCGCCTCAATAATTGCAGGGCCGCGACAATTGCGGGCCGGCATCACCATCGATCGGCAGTCCTGACAAGCTGCCGCGTCGTTCAGGTCGCGGATCTCTGACCGCATCACACGCGCGTAGCAAGCAATAAATGTGATTATATTGGTAAGTGGTAAAAGAAACGAGAGAAGGGCAGCGACAATGGACGTGCTTACAAGTGGAACTTTCGGCGCGACGTGTCCATCGCGTGCTGCTTGTGAATCCACTCGTACTCGCCGTACTTGGTGTCGAACGTGCCTTCCTGGAGCCAGCGCAACTTCATCGTGAAGCGCGGCCCAATCTCCTGTAGCCGGGCCTTCTACATGACGTGTGAGTGCATTGGTCCAATAAGATCTCATGGCGACAAACCTTGCCGTTCTCGAAAATGTAGCGGTGCTGGCGCACAAAAATGAAATCGCGCTGGTTGTGGAACGTTACGACCTGGCGACCCTTGAAGTCGGGCTTGTGCTCGAAGAACGAGCCAAGGAAGCGACCAATGCGGTGACCGAGGCGCGTGTTGAAGTTGTTCAGAATCAGCTCCGGCTGGTGGCTCGTGCGCTTGGCCTTGTTTTGAATCTTGTTGTTGAGGACGACGTTGGAGATTTTGAAAAACGCCGTCGGGCCATGCGGAAGGCGGCTCACGACCATGCTACACAAGAGGTCGATCGATCATGAGCATCTTACGAGGACGATACGAGAGACATACCCGTTCACCTTCTTCTCCTTCTCAGAGAGAATGCACACGTGCGTAAAGGCCTTGTTGCCGGCGAAGCGGCAAATGTCCTTGATGTCGTACGTCTTGCGGTCGTAGTAGAACGAATTCGGGATGAACTCCATGAGGTTCTGCACGAACGGGTACATGTCACCGGACGGGAACGGCCGCGTCGTGATCATGAGCTTGGGCGTCTCTTCGTTGCCAAAGATGCGCGCAAACTCGTCGTCCTGGTCGTCGGCCGCGATCTCGTCGTCGTCGCCGCCAATCATGGTGACTTCGGCCTCACGCGCGTTATCGATCGTACGGGGCACCTGCTTGGCCGGCGCCTTGTCGCCGAGTTCCTCGGCTTCCTTCTTGCGCGCGGCCTGCGCCTCCTTCTTCATCGTCTTCTTCTCCTTCTTGTAGAGCTGCATGACTTGCTGGCGCTTGATCTTGTTCTTGATGCCCGACGGGTTCTTGCGCAGGATCTTGGGAGCGTCCTCTTCCGGCGCCGCCGCCGCCTTCATGCTCTTGCCACGGCCCTTGCCGCCGTCGCCTGCCCGCGGCTTGCCGCCCGACCGCTGCTTCGCGTCCTTGCCCATGCTACAATTGCAACTGCACCAACCAACCCAGCGTCGAATCCGACCTTTTGATTGGTTCCTGCCAATCCGCACCATTTCAACCAATCGTCAGCCGCGATTTCGATCCAGCCTTGAACGCCACGCCAGACAAGAGACAGCAGGACACAAACGAGGATGGCTTCCAATCGACCACCAAGTCCACGTAGAGGCATCAGCAGTGACGGGCGATGGACGCTCCTTGCCTCTCGCCAGCATACGCAGCAGTCGAAGGTACTGTTGTGTGAGCGTATCATTCGATTCTAGTATACCGCATACTCAACGCAAGTGACCGACATTGCAAGATCGGTTCAATTTCGTATTTGTATGGTATACAAACAAGAGGCTACTTCCACAGAATCTATTTTTAGACAGG